ATTATATCTAATTGCTCTGGCGAAAGACCTTTTTCAATATTGCGTTACATAAAGAACTCGTACAGATCCACCGCGGGTCAGAGACGGTTGAACGACCTGATATTACTAAGTATTGAACAAGACATTCTTTGTAGGGACACGCACATTAAGACGCCGAGTTGGTTCGACAAATTAAAAGCTCCAAGGCCTTCGGATTTGGCCAGAAAACGTAAGATCAACCCTCCACCGGTAGGAAAGAAGCGATCGCAAACTACCAGTACCGGCAAACGCAACTATGATCCGAAAAAAGTGTCACCATCTGAAAGAGTCCGCGAATTTCCCGGGGAACATTTGACTGTTTCTAGTGGCAAACGTTTTTGCAAAGCTTGCCGAGAGTCGCTTGTTTTAAAAAAGAGCGTACTAGTAAGTCATGTGAAAAGTACAAAGCACGAATGTAGCAAACAAAAGCTTCTACAAAACCAATCAAGCGAACGGGATATAGCTGATGCCCTTGCGAAACACGATGGACAAACTCATCGTAAGGGTGAAACTTTGGACGAAGAAAGCAAGGTATATAGAGTTAAAGTGTTAATGGCTTTTATGAAAGCTGGAATTCCGTTGGAAAAGTTGGAGTGTCAAGAACTGAGAGATCTTTTGCAAGAGAATGGTTACCGACTAACAGACGCCAGACACATGAGAGACTTAGTTCCTTTTATTCACCAACAAGAACAGGACAATTTGAAAACAGAGTTGAAAGGGAGAGACTTGTGAATTACATTCGATGGTACTTCACGACTTGGTGAAGTTCTTGCAGTAGTTGTACGGTTTGTTTATAACTGGACCATTCAAGAACGGCTTGTTCGTCTGAAGTTCCTTACAAAAAGCATGAATGGTGAGGAACTTGCCAGAGAACTTATCACTGTTTTGTCTATCAAACTAAGTTTGGAATCTCACCAGTTGTTAGCAGTGATGCGAGACAGAGCTAGTGTGAATGGTGCTGCATTAAACATTGTCAAAATTATGTATCCTAACCTGCTTGATGTTGGTTGCCTTAGTCACATTCTTAACCTTGTTGGAGAAAGATTCGAAACTCCTACTTTGAGCCTTTTCATTGCTCACTGGATTGCTTTGTTTAGTCACAGTTATAAAGTCAAAGCATTATGGAAAGAAGCAACAGGACGAGCTATGGCATCATATTCTAAAACTCGTTGGTGGAGTAGATGGGAGCTAATGAATCAGGTAATGGTCCAGTTTGCTTTTATTGAGCCTTTCCTTCAAAATAATGAAGATATTGGCCCAGCTACACGAGCAAAACTGCTGGAAATCCTAAGCCACCCCCATCAATGCTTTTACTGAAGGTAGAGTTAGCTGCTGTGATTGACTTAGGTGAACATTTTGTGAAAGGAACTTACAGATTAGAAGGAGATGGGTACCTTGTGCTAAGTTGTTATGAGGAAATTCTGAAAATCCGAAATGCTATTCGCATTGAACATTATCCAAATCTACAAGCCATTGTGAGACAGGCGTTTCCTGACAACAATGACCTACAAAAACAATTGGTTGCATACTCTATTGGGTGTCTACAAGCTGGGCTGGATTATTTTCAGAATAAACTTGGAAATGATTCTCAGCTTCCAGTGGCAGCCTTTAAGGCAGCCAGACTGTTCTCACCTTTTAAAGTCAATGAAATCCAACCTACTGCAAAAGATGTTGATGACCTTATGGCTTTTCCTTTCCTGGTTGATGAAATTGATCATTTGAAAGATGAATTACCTGCCTACCTGGCACTTGCAGCTGATGTCAATGCTGATGTCAATATTTTGGAGTGGTGAAAAAATCATAGCTGTCCTGGAAGTGATTCTTGTCATCCACATTGGTCATCTGCCGTATAGAAGGTGCTATTAGTGCAACCTTCATCTGCCACAGCTGAGCGTGTATTTTCAATGTTGAATCAGTCATTTGGTGAACAGCAGCAAAACGCATTAGAAGACTTAGTGGAAACTACCATTATGTTACAGTATAACATTGTTTTATTGATTTTTGTATGACTTCATATCGAACAATTTGGGGAATAATTTTGAGAATAATAGGTAGAAATTTTAAGAATAATTGGGAAATTTTGGGGAATAAAGGAAAAGAATAATGGGTAAATTTTTAGGAATAATGTGCGTGTCCCTAATTCTTTGTGAGCTTGACATAAATTCACTCATCAATGACTTTGCGCTCATGAAATCTCGAAAAAAGAGTATTTGCGAATCATCGTAAATTGATAACGGGAACATTTCAAAGTGATATACAGCTATTTCAATTAAGGTAATTGTCCCCGAGCAAAGCGGTAAAGTCGAATACGAACGCGAAAGGCTTGCTGGAAATTGCATATAAATGAATGGATTTTCAGTTAGGAATTCCCAGCAAGCCTTCCGCGCTCGTATTCGACTTTTCCGGTTAGCTCGGTGACAATTACCTTAATTGAAATAGCTGTATGCCACAAGGATATAATAGTAATTATAAATAAAAAATTCAAATACCAAGTTAATAGATACTACTGTTGTCTCTAATTTGGTCTCAGACTATAGAGTTGCTATATGCGAAGCGAACGCCACGTCGCTACAATTTATGCTTAAAACGAGGTAAATTTCCTGGTTATAGTCTAGAGAGAAGGCAAAAATTTGGGGCCCCGCCCAGCGCGAAGAAAATGCCACGGGCCCCGCGTTGTGTAAACGCGGCCCTGAATATTGCAAAGTTTAGTTGCGAAATGTTATAAAATGCGGAACATATAGCCTTGCAAAGTTCGCAAATTTTGTATACTTTTGTATTGCGTGCGGAAATTGCTACATTTTCGGCCCAAATGTGGTAGCAATTTCCGCACGCAATACAAAAGTATACAAAATTTGTTATGTTTTCCGCATTTTACAACATTTCGCAACCAAACTTTGCAATGTTACTCATTTTAGTGTGCTCTTTCTAGCTGTGGTGATTTATTTGCATCTCCTTGCCTAGTTTTAAAATTAGTCTGTAATGGAGGCTTTGGGGCTTTGAAATTGTTTGAATGTTCAATTATTCAAGTTTGGCTAAATCTATGCTCTTTTAATAATAACTCTAGTATGTGCCGATTAAATGAAGCATTTTCAAGCCTGTGGATAAACTCGTTTACTGTTGACAACGTTGGAATTTGTTCAATAAAGTAGCCCTCGGCCTGGCGTGCTTGAAACACTGTTTGAAATTTAATTTTAACCTCGTTTTTGAACTCAGCCCTTTGGCTGAATTTTTTTGTTTAATAAGAGTTTCATAAAAAGACAGCGCTGCCATTTCTACCTAGTATTATTGAAACAAGGCTGAGT